GGCTCGGAAAGAACAGATCCTAGATTTAACCAGTCTGAGAAAAGAGTCTTATTGCCCACACCCGGTCTTAAACCATTTGATCCAAGATCTGGTCGCAGTAATAGCTCTAATCCACCACACTTTGATAAAAGGCAAAATGAGTTCCCATCCCGCTCTCCAAGGGAGGATTTTCACCAGAAACCATATGGTCCTGATGATATGCATCACCAGAAAACATATCCGAGGGATGGGGGAAGAGATGGCGGACGCTACCCTTCTAAATCCAATTATAGAGATGATCGTGGTAGAAGACACCAATTTCAAAGCAATCGAAGAAATCATCCTCAAGAGGATTTCCAACGTAGTTCATATGAGGAAGAGTTCGAACCACATCCACCCAACTCAAGGAACAAACCAACAAATGACCATCCAAATGATATGCACAAACCTCCAAATATTAAACCTGAAAGTATTTCTCAAGGCAGAGTGAAAGCCCCTAACAAGGATGATAAGACTAAAAATAGTAATGTATCAACTTCTAAAGAAGATCTTATCAAAAGTGATAACCATGTTGATCAAAAAGATGTTAAAAGTGATAAAAATGAAAGTCGTGTACAAAATGAAGTTGTAGATTCTCATACTGAAAATCAGCAAACTGTTAGTACACCAAATAAAAGAGATTTAAATCCCGAACAAGAAACTCAAAATAGGTCCAAGAGACCTGCCAACTTTATTCAGACTGACTGCCTTATTCTGCGAGGGCTGCCTTTCTCTGTTACAGATAGAGACATTTTGGACTTTTTCTCTGATGAAGGCCTTGCGCCTACTCAAATACACATCATGCTAGACAAACAGGGCCAACCTGCTGGTGATGCATTTTGTGAGTTCAATACAACTGAGGAAGTAGAGAGGGCATTGAGTAAAAATGGGACTCATATGGGTAGAAGTGTTGTGTCAGTTAACCCTGTATCCAGAGAAGAACTTATGGAAGCAATTGGTATCCCCCCTCCACCACATGACCATATGCAAGAGGACTACCCACCAAATTTTCCACAGCAAGAGTTTCGTCCTCATTTCCGTCATCCTCGAGGAATGCCTGGCTATCCTCCTCGTTTCCCTCGAGGTAGAGGGAGAGGCTTCCCACCTTCAAGAGGAAGAGGAAGAGGTCATTTCCCCTATCCTGAGGGGCCTGGTAGACATCATCCCCCACCGAATGAAATGGACGTAGATTCACAAAGTGTAAATGCCTTTGGCAAACCCGGATGTGTAGTTGCTATGGAGAACGTGCCATATCGTGCTGAAGTCCAGGATATCATAGATTTCTTTCATGGTTTCTTTGTTCCTAGGGACAATGTTATCAGGAGATTCAATGAAGATGGAAGGCCAACAGGAGATGCTAGGGTATGTTTCAGCAGTCCTAATGAAGCTCTCAAAGCAGTAAAAAATCTCAATTTTAATCAAATATTCAACAGGGAAATAACTTTAACATTGGTACAATGAACAAGTAATGTGTGTGAACCAATGGTTTCAGGTTTTTTTTATCTGGATTGTAAAAAGTAGTTTTAAAAATGATTACAAATAAATTTGTAACTATCAACCATTTAAAGTTTATCATTAATCCATCATTAAGAATAATTAATTGTCGAAATAAAGGTAGCCCTTGATTATTTTGCAAAATCACTACAATAGTTTGTTTCCAAGATGCTAAATGTCGCCATTATTTTGGTGTAAGTCTTAGTATTCTCAAATCTTTATTTTATATAAAAAAGGATCTCAAGCAACAGATTTTAACAAGTAGACTACTTTCAAATTGTAGTTATGACATATTTCATGCAATTTCACTACATAAAATTGTTTGAAACTTCTTTTATTTTACATATACACTTTCTCATTTTAAAACTTTAGCCTATAGTGTAAACAACAACCACATGGTGGTTACCTCATGCCCATAAGATGGAAAAAATAGATAAATGTGTTTTTTTTTCATTATTTGTGAGGTGTTTTAGTGGACTGAAGATCTCAGATTAGAATTAATTTTCTTGAATGTACATATATAAATATTAGGAGTTGATACTTGTATATATAGAGATAAAATTTGTATAAAAGTCATCAGTGTTGTTTTGCATTATTTTCATACACAAATTTCTTATTATGTAGTCTGATTGATTTTGAAAGGTCAATAGAGTATTTACACTTATGTATTACTAATTATCAAATTATACTTTTCAAAACAATTTTGTGGTATTTTTTACCCATATTCAATTAAATGAATGAATAGTTTATATCTAATATAGGCTAATCAATTACAGTAATTCCAAAACCACTTTAAAACTGACTGTGCTCTAAGATTCCGCCACAAATCAATCTTTGTTTCAATTGTTATTTAGCTTAAAGGGAAATGAAAAATGCAAAATATTATACAAAAAAATATGTCTTTATTTTTAGAAACTATTACATTGAGTATTCATGGCAGGACATTATGTTGTCATCTTACAAATTTAAACAAAAACGTTCAATTCAACCTTTGAGAACAATGGGGTACAAATTAAGATCCATGAGTCTAAAACGAAACAAGTTAACAAATATGGGTTGCTCCATGATGAAAAATATCCAGGATAGCCTAGGTTTAATGTTTGTCAAACTCTTCTTACACTACTTTTCACTCAATGGAATTTCTAGTTATTATTGATTTTATTATTAATAATTATTGTATCTAAAATTAACTTATTGTGCTAGGGTAATTTTTGGCACACATACATAGGTAACTCAACAAAAGCTATCCCAAAACTATTTACAATTAGTAGCCTACTGTCGTTCATGTGGACAACAAACTTAATATTCAATAAGTGTGGGTACTAATCAGTGCAGTGTTATATCAACTGTACATTTTATTAATGATGACATACAGACTAGAATGCCAATTTTTGGTATTGTTGAAAATAAGAAAATCAGTTAACTGAGCACAACATAAGATACATCACGAGAAGACGTTTCTACAGAAGAAAAATCAAGAATTCACAAAAGAGCTATATTGTACAATTAAAAGTTTAACTTGCAATATTATTTAAAACAAGACTGTTATCTTGTGCTGATGACATAGTTGCTGTTTCTACTTTGATTCAGTTATCAAACTATTTAAGTATAAGAATCTTAAGTGACACCACTTACCCTTTTAAAGGACTATATATATTTTAACTTTAAGAAAATTAAAGTACTACTAACACTAATTCAATGTAATCAGAAAACAGTCAATTAATTTAAGATCGTTTGAAAAAACCGACCATCAATAACTGTTTCTACTTTGATTCAGAGATAAAACTTTTCACATTCAATGTATCTCTACTCTAGTCTTGAAGACTATTTATGCCTTTTTAAATCAAGAAAATTATGTCAACACTAAATAAAAGCACATAATATCAACATCTCAATGTTATTTCTAAATATCAAATCAAGAGTGATTTACTTGATTAAAATCACATGTTTTTACCACGGACAAAATCTTATAGTTCAGATTTATCATTCTTATAGAATATCTAAATAATACCTTTATCATTAGTAATTTTCAGTCATGAATACATTGCAGCATGATTTTTTTATGATTGCCACTTACTTTTTACTGCATTTATTTTATTCACTCTAATATAGAAGATCATTTAGTCTAATCAGCAAGAGATACTTGTCATAACATATCATTTTTTTTATTTTACAGCAGGATGATCAACTTTGAGTATTTTAACTCTACGGTATCTACTCAGTTAACCGTGATGTGTTGTTGTGATACAATTAAGTTACTCATCCAATTATAGGTTAATCTCAAAGCTAAAAAATATATTCAAAATACACTCAGGGCTATATTTTGACTCTTATCTGGCCCATGGCAACTTAGCCATGTCCGCCCCCCTATCTCATTCTTTGGAGGCTGGAGCCTAGGGGATTTACAAATATGCGCGATACTGCTTCAACTTTATGACCTCGACCCTTTGTTTTTGACAATCTGATTGGTGAGACCTAGAGGCTAGTAAACTAGCTATAAATTAATTCCATACTTTGATGATAATTTTAGAGGTCTACGGGCCAGACTCTATTACTTACAAAAACATTGACCTTCAGGTCTCAGGCCGGAATCAAATCGGGGGAAATTGAGTTCCTTTGGAAAGTACTGATTTAAAAAATGTAAATTTTTTTATAGTACTATAATTGGCTTGAACGACTTCTGCAATTGCCTCAAAATTGAAACATGGAACAAAAATGAAAATGGGCCTAAAATAAATTTTCTTCGGTCACGGCATAATTTTGAATGCCCCCTGCGGTCACGGTAAAATTGTGGACATCTTCTGCAATCACTAAGGAATCGCACGGTAATGTTTAATTTTTACAGCAAAATAGTGAACATCTTTGTTTGCAAAAACATTCTAGGTCTCACGCAGTCGTGACAAGATCATGAACATCTTTGTAGAGGTATCATGGACAGCTCCAGGTTCACAGAGAAATATTGAACAACTTCTGCATTTGCAGAGACATCACCTTCGACTCCCTTGATTGCGTAATAATCATGAACATCTCTTGTGGTCACGGAGAAATTGTTTACATTTTTTTGCGGTATTGGAAAATTTATTTTCGTCCAGTGATCATGGCAAGATCGGGATTTGAGATTGTTCAATCTTCGAAGACGCTTGATTATCAATCAAATTAATTAAAAAGCCTCCCTCCCAGGTTGAGGCACTCCATAAACCACCGCTAGGGAAATACGCCCCTGACTACACTCCAACTAATACTTCAGACTAACTACTACATGATAAAGTTACTTTAGATTTTTCAGCAAATAAAAGTTGTTACTGTATTTTTATCCAAACCTTATAATTTAAGCTATTAAATACATAGCTATCACTCTTTATAGCCTAAATTTGTTAATTTAAAAATAAACCAAACAATTAATTGTTAATTTACAACTACAGTCATCTCTCATCTCTTGATTATTTTAGAAGTTTGTAAGATTAAAATGTTAACTTCCTTTTGCACATTTTTTTAAACTTTCATTTATTAACAGAAAATTGTACACATTTTCTTGGTAGCCTCAGCAATTCTAATAACAGATTGCATTAAGAATTTTGTTCTTCAACAAATTAAAATAGTTTACGTTTTATGAGTTAGTGCTTGAAATACTTTGAAAAGATGAATCTCCCTATTGATTCAAACTCAATTTTTGAATGATTAGATGATCTACTGAACTTATTACTGCTCTGTGGTACATTTGTTTCACTACATTACTTTTGTTTACATTTCTGGCATAAAACATGTAGAGGTAAGAAGACTAGTTAGTTGTATGTGCTTTTTCTCAGGCTCTAAATTGGAAACAGAATCTTTGATAAAATGTATAGTATCAAAAATGTATACGACCTTGTTGCAACTGTATAAACTACATTCCCACCAACTTACAGAAAAATTACCAGTACAAGAAAGTTACGTAACATTTGACAAAACTAAATTGACTTTAGTAGCGAGTCAAGATACACAGAAATAAAGATCATTTTACAAATAGACAGTTTTTTAACATTAACCAATTTTTTGTACTAATTCTCTAAGAATTATCATCCACCTTTTTACAAAACTGTTAGGTGGTTTTAGTTTTAACTTTTCAAATGGTAAAAATAACCCAACTAAGAATAAAACTCAAGGAATATTCGGCAAATAAAAACTAGACATATTTAGACTTAAAAAAGGAATATTTAAAATTAAATGCAACACCCGATTAATCAGGACACACCTGCAACTTTTTTTATTTTGTTTTGAGATAATAAAAAAAAAAGCATCTAAAACCCTAAAAAAGTTTTGACAATTTTTTCCTACTTAAACACTACCAGTACAAAACCTCACTTAAATCATGTCAAAAACTTATCATTGTGTTAGCAGTTAAAATTGTTTAACCATAGACAAACTACTAAAATATTATAATTGACAAGGAACTTTGAGGACTTGAAGCCATGTGGAAAACTGAACAACCTAACTTATTACAAGTCTTTGGTTTAAAAATTGACATATTTCTTACATCTTAAAATGTCCTACACAAAAATGTAAAATATCACATTCAGTAGATTCAATACGATGTATACATTTGTGTTAGTGTTATTAAGAAGAGTGACTAATTCAAATCCAAAAGACATATTCAACATAATCCTTCGTCTAATTATGATAAAATGTGTGCAAATTACAATAGACTAAAATGTAAAATACAAAACATGAGTTTACAAAACACATAACAAGTATGGTACTTAAATATAAAAAATAGCACAATATATAGCTTAAAATACAAAAAGAATATAACAAGAGAGCATAGTAAAATATTGTTACACAACAAACTACCACTAAATTTTTAAAACAAACATGAGAAACATTAAAAATATGGCACATTATTACAATAAAAAAAAGAAAGAAATATACAAAAACTTAAGAAATATATACTAACAAGTGACATTGTTACGATCTATGGCTGAACTTAAAACAAACGTACCTTTAGAGACCAACCCCTCCATGTCTCTTATACATTCCATCAGGGAAGTGCTTTTCTGAAACAAAAAAGTTAGACCTAATTAATATTAACGTTCAGCAAATCAATGTAGACTATTTAGCAATAAGGACCTGATCCTTACACAACTCAACATGGATGTATTTTATTTTGCCCACCTACAGGGAGAGAAACCATCCCTCAGAAAACCAGCTAGGAAATCACTTCCTAGAAGACTAGATGAAGACCATGACTGAAAGCAAACTACATTTAGAACTGAATAGATGAATGACCCAAAGGACCTAGACATTCTAAAATTAGATCTAGATTTTTATTTTATTTTATCAAAGACGACTGTTTATAGACTACTGTAACACCGTGCATGATATTACTGTCAAGTAAGGAATTGAAAAAGTTGTGAATCATATCAATAGAATCTTTACAGCTTGGTTGAGGTTGAACTCCTCCTCCTTAGTCAAACGTTTTGCTTTTCTAAATTACCATCCAGCAATATTCTGTTGATACTTAAATAGGAGACGATTTTTAAACAGATTAATAATTTCACTCTTATATTGTCAGTATATCCTACAGGACCTAGAAATATTAGGAAAAAAATTATACTTACTGAAAATGAGAAATCCTTGCAGACATAAAAGTTTGCATCATTTCTTGCATTCCACGCTTTTCTTTGACTAGATTCAGTCTTCGTAATCCCGTTTGTTGGATGTTCAGGATTCTTATGCTTGAAAGAAGACTCATTATTTGTCCTTTTTGTCACTGAGATCTGATTATTTATTTGAGATCCATTGTTTCCAAAATGTGAGGTAAAGTTTAACTTTGGTTCCCTCATGATAAAAATTGTTTGTGATGACTTAGATTTGGTGGTTTTAGGAACTTTACTTGAAACTTTCACCTCACTACAATCCAATCTTCTTTTTGTTCTCTTGTGAGATTTTTGGGAAGCTGCTGAGTCCGACCCAAGGACTGATGAGGAAATACTTGAACTGTCGTCACTGTAATCATCATCCAGTTTGTTCACCCTACATTGAGACATTGAAGATGACTTGGGTAGATGAGTGGAATCCCCGTCTGAAACTGATGATTCTTCATAACACAATAAATCTGTATTTATAAGCTTGGCTTGAGGTTTGGTCAGAAACAAATCTTTGGCAGATTTTTTTCTTGTAATCGAATTTTGCTTTGTATTGTTTGTATCTGTTTGCTGATTGTTCTTTCTATTAAAAATACCCTCACAACCATTTGTGGGAACTAACTTCACTTTACGGTCGTGTACCAACTTTTTTTCCTTAACTTTTTTGGTTGGCTTCACAGAGGCGTTAAAATTCTTTTCTTTTTTGTTAGTTCCTTTAGAATTTTGGATGTTTGTCGATTGAGTTCCTTGTCGCTCAATATCTACTTCCATTTCTGTAATAATGCACTTGTTTTGGAGCTCCTGAGACAGTACATTACAGACTTCATTTTCGTCCCTTTTTGTGTTTGTAAAACACTTAGATTTGCAACAACCTTCATTTTTCTTAAAATTCCTTTGTGCCGGAGAGTGGGAATGGCTTGGATCCTCGCAGTCTGATGAACTGTGGCTTCCCAACAGATTGATACTGGGAAGTGATGCTTGCCATTTCTTTACCTGAAAAAACAAAAACTCCTAATTTTAGCAATTTACAAAAACATTCAATTTTGTATCTTCAAAATGTAACAAAAATGTGTTATAGTTACAGTTAGGCTCAACATTTCTTTATTAAGGCTATTACAAAAATACTGAATCAATGCAGGGAAAATTAACCCGATTATGTGAAGGAGCTTGGCTAAGTTTAACTAGCACTTTACATTGAATAGTATTGTGCACCTATTCTCAAAACCCCTAGCAAAAGATTTGTTCTATGAATGACTGCACTGCTTTACAAATAAATGTAAGAATTTTATTTTAATTCTTATTTATTTGTACATATACACATCCTCAAAAAATAAAACTTTTGAAAAATATTAAACTATAATACCACTTTAATTTTATTTTCCGGCAACTTTTTTTGTATTTTTTCAAACCTTTTTATGTTAGTCATAATTATTTCCCCTAAATTTTTACTTTGGTATTATCTTACCTTGTCAAAAGGATCATCATTGGGGAGATCAATGTTTATGGACTGTCGCTGTGGTAAGTTTGAGTGGTTATTCAGAAGTGGATTGCCATTTCTATTCAAACCATCATAGCTTTTTGACAACGCTCCTTGGTGCTTGGTTCGAGCTTGAGAATCAAATCTAGGAACGCACGGTTTTAAATTTCCTAGTGGTTGGTAATTCTTTCCCAGATGACAAGAACTTGAAAAAAGTTGTCTTACTGGGCTTAAGCTCTTTTCATAAGGTGAAGAATGAAGAGTTGGTTTGAAATTGTCTTTAGCGTCGTTTGTGGATTTTGACACGTCTTCTTCAGGTATGCAAGAAGCAAGCTGATCAACATTTGTGTCAATTTTGTAATCAAACGAGTCCAAGGTTAAGTTACTAACTGACATAATTTGATTTCTTGATCTATTTCCATCACTGTAACTTAAACTTATTGATTGCACTCTTAAGTTATCAATTATGTTTCTAGCCTCTGCAAACTTCAACAAAAGTTTGTTGTAGTTTCTGTGCTGGGCGTCAATATACAGGGATTTCTCATGCAATTCATGTTTCAATTCCTGAATTTCCCTCAATAAATCGTCTTTCTCAATTGGATGCACAGTTTCTGTCTCTTTTGGTAATACAACCGGCTCGTTTTGCTGTTCAAGCTTTTTCAAAAGTTTATTTCTTTTATTTAAAGCTTCCGATTCTTTTATGTTTCTTATATACGCTTTAACTTTACTTTGTACATGGTCATAGCTTCTTCTCCCGCTGGTAAGACTAAGACAGCTAAGAGATCTTTGAAATCCTGAATCTTTGGATTTAGTGGTGGATGATAAGGATTGGCTATTGATTGTTTCACAAGACACATTATTGGATTTAGCGCTATGAGTTAATGATGTAAGGTTAGAAACATCATGTAAAGACACAGATTTACTAAATGTCAGATGTGGTTGTTTAACAGGCTTAATAGATGGTTCTACCATCTCCATTTCACTGGTCTTTGTATGAACAGATTGTTCAGTCAGATCATCGTTTATAAAATTATTCTGGAGTGGTTTTGTTTCATTTACTTTAATTCCCAATTCATCCGAATTTGGGATGGTGGGCGTATGGTCTATTTCATCTAAATCAATTGTAGAATCGCTACAGATTGAGTTGGTGTAACTGCTAAAACTACATAGTGAAGGTTTCTTTTCTTCACTTATGAGCTCTAGCTTTTGAGGCAGCTCAAACACTTCCCTTATTTCATAATCAGTCATATTCAAACTGCAGACCTAGAACAAAAGAGCTTAGTGAAAATTACAAAAAGAAGGTTTTATCAACACGCTGCTGATGACTCCGACCGGAGTCATGCCGTACTGGCACAGCGTGAGTACAACTCCGGTCGGAGTCACGGTGCAGTGTTGTACAAGTTTGTCTACTGTGACCTCTGCATTTATCGGGGATCAACTAAACTATGTCAGAATTTTGTGCTGGTCCTATACTTTAATTTAGGCCTAGTGTAGGTTGGGTTTAGGTTGGTACAGACCGTTTCACCGTGCTTGGCGTGTAGGGGAGGCAGTGCGAGAGAGACAGAAAATCTCCCCTATCACACTTCCCCTCCAGCCATCAAGTACAGTCGCCTGCTCGCCTCCACTCCAATACGAATACAAAGACTGCTGTAGCGGTTATTCACATACTCATCCAAAAAACACATGTGTAAAAATTTCTAAAGTTCATATTTTTATAGCAGCTGGAAAAAGACAAAACAAAATATAAACCGTAGATTATTTAAATTAAATGTTTGAACACTACATCTAATACTCTCCCACCTTTTGACTTGCAAAGTCAAAATATTAATTATTGATTCACGTATCTTCCTGGTGGTCTATTTTTCCCCCTCTTTGTGTGTAAAAAGGTTGATCATGTTCACTTTCTACTCCTTCAACCACTTGTTCTGTATTAAACCATGATGCCATGTTTTGGGTTTCTCGTCATAAATATTTATTTTATTCATATTACCTGTTACTAATATGTATTTTCTTGTTCCTTATTAAATGCTTAATAAATTGTATGTCTTATTTTTTTATTATTAGTGCATAAATATACTTAATGGCCCGTTAAGTTAACAACAGGTCTCGTAACCTTGAAAATAAGTTTTATTTGATATTGTTTGTACTTGAACACATAGCCGATACCTATTGAATCTCACGGAAAGGTAGCGATTTCTATTTTTTTAAGATAGCCTTTTTTATCTACCTTCATTGAATATATAGTTTTATAAGGCTTAGGTAAATTTATAAATTTCCATTTATAAAAGCCACGTTTACGCTTAAGTTGACAACCAAAAGTTTACAACTAAAAGCTTACAACTAAACGGACGAAGAAGATTCAATCCATGCCGCGGCTGCTTGTGTAATTATAGCCAGCCACTATGGAGATGACGTCGATCCATTGAGTGTGAGCATAAAAAACTTCATGAGAATGACAACTATTGATTTCGAATAAAAATTTTGTTTATGATCGGACAAAGTCAAGGAAAGTGACACTAACTTCAGGAAAGCCATAACTGTCCAAGAAAAGCTAGCCGTGACCTACGTTTTTTTGGCTACTGGTGATTTCTACACTAGTCTTGGTTATTTGTGTAAAATTTCAAAATCAACCATTTCCCTGTGATTGAAGTTTGTGAGGCTTTGATAGAATAGTTCTCCACTAGTTTTTCCACAAGTTGTTTGCTGTTCCCCACCAGCGTGTAAAAAGATTAGTCTTTCACCTTTGGATATGTGCGCTGACACGCTGTGTCGTCGCTCCATCCCTTTCCTGACACATGTGCTGAATCGATGTAAGACTTGTCTGTAAACACAATCGGACGGTTTTCTGCTCGAAACTCTCAAATCTTTTTTAGGTAAACAAATCGTTTATAGGCCACATCTTGCGATTCCATAAGAATATGTTTGTTGGTTTTAGTTTTCTTCCATCTGTATCCAATATTTTTCAATATTCTCCTTACACTGGATGTAGACCCTACAAATCCTGGATCATTTTCTAATTTTATTTTTATTCTCTTTAGAGTTGGAAGGCATTTTTCAGTCAAATAAAATGTGTTTACAATTCTACGTACAACACCAACATCAGAATCGTCAAGACCAGTAATTTTTCTTCTTAATTTTCTCTTTTTATTAGGGGTTTCATAACTGGAGTTTGTTTCTTCCAATTTTCTTTTCTCCGTACATAGCCGTGTTAAAGTCCGTTTTAAAACTCCACAAGCAGCCGACACCCTATCTCTAACCTTTTTGGGATCAATCGTAAACCTTGATTCCCTAGCCTCCAATTCCATAAAACTCATAACACTCGTAATTACTTCACGCGTCTGACTTCTTAGCACTTTCCCTTTCAATTTAGACTTGAACTCAACCGGCACATACATCTTCACAATCAATCACAAACTTACAGGAACACTAACAAAAATACACTAGAGCTGGAGAACTATATTTGAACCACACTTGTGGGAAAATAAATGGGTAAACGAATAATAAATAAATTGTAATAATAAATAATAATATAAATTGGAAATACAACTCTTCAAAGCTTTCTATGACTTACTTATCGAAAATCTCAACAACAAAAACGAACCTTCTTTCTCCATTTAAAACATTAATCCAACTCTACCAAAACTTTGTCTCCATGACAACCCGAAAAAATACAAAAACGTAAACATAAAGCAAACTAATTTGACAGCTGATACTAGTTCACAACTTCAGTATTTGAACGTGACTGTACATCGAGGCGTAGTGGGGGAATGCTCTCAGTGCGCATGCTCTAGCGAGGCGCCACGCACCGTGACGCTATCTGTAGTAAAAATTCCCGTAAAATCCTGTCTGGCGACACTTTTTGTCCCGTTTTCAGGGATTTTCTCTCTTAGAGCCACATTACAAAGACACTGGCTACGGATCCAGGCAGTGCTGCTATCTGTGAGTTTTTCAGTGAATTACGTCCACTCTCGGGGTAACACAGCTCCCGCTGTTTTGCCACTGTCAAGATTGATATTTTAATGCTATTGCGTTTGCTGATTCAATGGCATGCCGAGGTTGCGTTGCATTTCCGACCATGTACTGCCAAAGGGATTCTCGCAGCGAACGAGTTAAATATCTCAATCGGCCTATCATCCAGTAACAAAAAGAAATTTTATTTTTTTACTGACAAATCAATCTTGAAGAAGCAACAAACGTGACTCATAGTTTTGATCAATCCACAAGAGTTGATTCCTGGTGAAGGTTGCTTGACCGATTTACATATTTTAGATTTTCAACAAATTTCCTAAATAGCTAATTTAGTGAACTTCCTATGTAGGCCTAGGGAATTTAGCAAATATCCCATATAGGGAATGAGGAATTAATAGCATTCTAGTGTGGATTAACGTCCGCACGAGTGAGTACTACGTCTATCCGCAGTACTATCCTGATAATTAGACCAATTCGTATATAGCAAGGAAAATTTGGTTCGGATTCCACTATAAACTGTAGGTCCCTTAGTTGCCATTAGCTGTATGGGCTATTAATTAACAGCTGTGTCTAAGGAATGTCGGCCTTAGTCACTAACAAGACTACAAGATCGCGCCACTCATCCTACACTCATCTCTATTCATACTTGGCTTAAAATACCTACTATGTATGGTCGCAATTTTATTGAACAGTACAGACACAGGACGTTTTACTTTTTTGTTTTGTGGTCCCTAAAGGGCAAACACACCGGTGTATCCCATTTAGCACGGTAACTCGAGTAAAAATTATGCAATATTCATGAAATTCCGTACAAAAGAGTTTGCTGACTAGCATAATTGGATTATGGGGTAAAAATAAGTAAAGGCTAAGTTGTAAATTGTAAATTCTCATGTTATTCTTATGGATAATAAGTCAACTCTTGTAGTTTTCTTGTTTATAGATAGTTTAAGTTTTGATCAAACTTGGCAAATTTATTTAGGCCTACTAGTAATATTTTACTAAAAAAAAACACAAACTTTAATACACTCCTCCCTGTAGCAGTAACCCTCGGTACTTGATAAACCTTATGTTATTTAAATTGATTTAATTGAAAATCCAATCCAATGGAAATTTGCTTAGTCTCCAGGTTTGGCGAGGAGTCTCTCTACAAGACATGGAATAACAATATCATCGTGTTTCACCCACTATTTAACCCTTTGAGTGCCAACGTCCGGGGAACCGGACGTTTTTAAAACGAGCCAAAAGTGCCGACGTCCGGCCGACCGGACGTTTTTAGAACGAGCCAAAAGTGCCAACGTCCGGCTGACCGGACGTTTCGTAATCAAATCAAATCAAATCAAATCAAAATATCCTTTATTCATGTAAGTACAATTGTACAGGAATAGAGTCAGATCTTACAAAATAAAATGTTTTACATTTAAGAACTAAAAATAAGACAGAATATTTATTTTATTTGTTCTCCCAAAACTCTTCAAGAGAATAAGGGGAAATTTTAATCAAATACTGTTTCAGACAATTTTTAAACTTTTTTGTATCATTTTCATTTAGAAGTATTTTTGGAAGATGGGACATAAATTTATTTCCTGCGAATTTTGTTTTCTTTTTATAAAATTCTAGATTGTGTCTATCAATTTGAGATTGAGAACGAGTGTTATAATTATGACTAATTTTGTTTGATACCTGAGTTTTTGTAATATTTTTTTGCATAAATAATAGTTTCCAAGATATATAGTCCATGAACAGTTAGTATTCCAAGATCGGTAAAAATATGTTTTACCGAATCTTTCCTTTTCAAATTAAACATTGCCCTAATTGCCCTTTTCTGGTACGATAAAATCCGTTTTAAGTTTTTTGATGTAGTTGCTCCATATATACTGATTCCATAAGCTAAATTAGAATGAACTAAGGCATAAAATATTGATATTAATGTTTTTAAGCTGCAAACTTTATACATTTGTCTTAAAGCAGATACTCCTGAAGACATTTTTTTGATAACATGATCAACATGTTTGTCCCAGGCTAGATTTTTATCAATTATTAAACCAAGAAATTTTGTATGTTCTACCTGTTGTAATTTATAATCTTCTAAGATTATGTCTGGATTTAATTTGTTTTTGTTTTGTTTTGTAGAAAATGATACAAAATTAGATTTTTCAGGGTTTAAAAGAAGGTTTTTGCTATCTAAGAATTTTTTTAAATTCTAATGATCGAACAGTTGTCATAACAACCGAATGGATACTCGGATTCTTTTAACCCATATATTAACATTGAGTCGAAAGTTACTAGATGCGACACATCAATTTTCGTTGGTCGAAATATCGAAAATTCAATTTTTACGAAATTTTAACCTAAAAATCGCCAGATTGCGCTCGGCATTTTTAGCGCGACCTTCGGGAAAAATCATCGGCATTTGTTGAGCGTTACTTTTATTTCTCGCCTGGCACTCTAAGGGTTAATTGTGCAAAACCAGTCTGGAAGTAGCATAAATTAAATGAGTCGGTTCATTATAACCTAACCTTTACCTTCCTAATTTAACCTCACTTCAAAACACTTAATACAGTCACGAATCCGCATAAAACCCGACCTACCTTCTCACATGCCTAAATAAGAACTGATTATTTGGTTTCAAAACGAATTGATTTAATACCGCATTAAGTCTAGCATAAACAGATGTTTGCTCTCCTACTCAATCAGTCCACAGTCCACATACCGACCCATCCAGACCACATCATATTACCATCAGTATAGCTAAATGAACCATAGATTCGTAATTTTAACCTTCGTTTTACGGCCACTTATGAATCTCTCCGACAAAAACTGATTGCATTTTTGGATTCAGCGTGAAAAATACTGTAAGTAGACATCTAAAAATTACACGATATCGCATTGTTGAAATATCAAATATTTGCCTTGTTAATATAGTCTATCCTGTTGTTACTGTTGTTATCTTGTTCTTGTACAGAGTATATCATATTGTTATTTTTCGGCAAGCTTTATCTGTTTTCATCAAGATTGTTCTGCCTCTTTTACTAAAGTTTCACTCGGCTTACTGTATTGCTACTTATCATTATTGTTCCTATAGGCTACTGGTTTTGTTTTTCAAATCTATTGTTTTGTCAACTTGCTCAGATAGTTTGTTATTTATAGTTGTTACTTATAGTTTGTTATTTAAATACTTAGTTGTTATTTTCGTTAGGCCTATTTATCTTTTAAGTGTCTTGTTATTGAAGTCTTGTTTTCCAGTTTTTTTTTCACTACTTTTGTACTGGCCTATGATTTTTGTTTTCTTCTTTCTGTAAGACAATAATATTGCATTTTTCTGTAAAAATGGTGCAACCGTTTATCTATATAAATAAAATTACAGTTTTGTCTGTACATTGCTTAGAATCATGCAGTTTTTGGTTATTTTTACGTTTCATAGCCTAAGAAAGACTAAACGAGTCTTATCTCAATTTCTGTCTGTAGGCCTATGTCTGTTTGTCCATTCTGTGGTTGCGTCTGTAACGCCAAAATGTCATTTTACGCGGCCTACTCCTAGAAAACTAGCGTAGGCCTACCGATCAAGGTTCTAATCATTTGTCTGTATTTACTGGATTGGTGAGAGTGTCTTTGGCTATAAAAACCTGGCCTCGCTTCTTTGAAAACAAAATAACGTGTTATCAAAAACCCAATTTTGTTCGATTTTTGTCAAATTTTCTCCTAATGTTTACTATTACATTTGATGAAATAACGATCAGCTGTTTGGATTAGTTCTCACTTCTAGCTGTCACTGATATGTTGACAGTAAAAGTTGTTTACAAATACCGCAACCATTTCCGATCAAGTTTTGTTAGCACATCCAAACCAAGTGAGATTAAAAACGTTGTGCCTTACAAAAAAGGTTTCCACTCATTGACGGCGCTTCAAGGACAGTTGTGGTAAGTGCAAAGTAAAAATACCCCCGCCGCAGCAAACCTGCAGACTAAGCGAATTTCCATTTGATTTACACTGAAATGTCTACTTAAAAATATAACATTTATTCCTGATTTAAATAGAATTAGTTTAACAAGTACTTAGGTTTGCTGCATCAGGGAGGTAAAACTGTTTTTTTTATGTTAATAGTTAGTAAGAAATAAAAACATTTTTCAAATTTGATCAAAATATGTTCATAAACAAGCATACTACAACAGTTTGCTTACTCTCCATAAGAATAACATGGAAATTTTAAATTTACAATTTTTTGGAATTTTCTCCGTAACCATTAGGCGCATAATAACGCTTCAATATACTAAATTATTTGTTTTTTTAAGCTCTACAAAATGGTTTGGAAAGAAATTGCTAAATTTTATGTTTTTTGGGTCAAAAATGTGAAAAACCTATTTTTACCCCATAAAACCCTCCGTAAACCCCCGTTCCCATGGTCCGATCATGCTGGATCGCGAACTCGTTCGAATAAACGTAGGTTTACACATTTGTACCAAATTTAATCAAAATCGGATCATTTTTGCTCGAGTTATCGTGCTAACGGACATATATATATATATATATATATATATATATAAATATATAAATATATAAACATATAAATATATAAATATATATATATATATATATATGAATTTGAACGGATGGTGTTTTTGGCCTCTAGGGACCTCGAAACTAAAAAAAAATCGGTCCCGCGTCCAGGTCTTACCATGAGTACTACGGTAATAGCTTATTCCCTATATGGGAAATTCGCTAAAATCACAACTGCAGTGGGTGACTGGGTGATCGTGGATGTTGCTGCGATCTTGGAAGATATTTCTGATTTTGCTGTGATCGTAACAGAGGTTTAACTTACAGATTTAGCTAAACTCGCTTTTCCAATGTTTCACTTTTAGTTTTTACTACTTACATTTCGACAACGATATCGGTACTTTTCCTACTTAGGAAGTAAAACTACAAACGTCCAAAACCCCAGATTTGTGCGTTTTTTGTCACATTTCCTCTGAATGTTTGCTAGATATATGTACCAAATATCGTTTAGAGAGAGATTACGTAATCTTTTACATAAGAAACCTTTGTTTGGATAAAGGTGGTTTCTTCAAACTGTCATTAATATTTTAACATTGAAAATTGCTTACAAATAATGCTATTATTGGGAAATAACTTTGATTCTCAAAAACTTGACATTTAAAACCAAGGGAGATTAATAACTTCGGTACTGCACCACATCAAGTGAAAGTTTTTTTTTAGCAAACCATAGTGAGTTTTAAAGCTTTACGTTGTTAACGTTACATGTTACATGTTTTGTGGCCTGTGTATTTATTTATTTATATATTTGCCAACGGATTAACACCTATATAAAACAGTTTGATTAGAAGGACAGTTTGAATTGGTTGTAAGTACTATAGTTCTTTTCTTAAATATAAACGTTGGTTTATGGTACTGCTACTTTTCCTTAGAACCGGTGGTAGCAGTAAGAATCATTTTTATGTAGAAACACATCACTATTTACAACTATAGGCCTAGTTATCGTTAGTGCTGCACCTTATTTCTTATTAAATTTAATTGATGTCCTACTGTATAATTTTTGCGTTTTCTGTCTGGACTCCAAAATGTTAGTTTAGCCTATGCTATGAAATGATAAAACATTATTGAAAGATTTTTTAGCAAACCATCATAATTTTTTAAAGCTTGGCGTTGTTAACGAATAAATTTTTTGTGGACTGTGTATTTATTTACTTATTTATATATTTACCAACGGATTTACACAAATTTTACAGTTTGATTAGGTCTAAAAACGATTATCATTACATTTGATGACACTATCAAAACTTTCAAATACTTAATTATTTTGTTTGTAATTTGCTTTGGTTAAAGCGTAGCAAATCCCCTATTCAATTCTGCTATTGTGTGTGTATGTCTGTTGGTAACGCATTAATGTCCTTATTTCTCAGTGTTTCTTGGAAAAGACAAGATCACCTTTGTTAGGCTATTGAAAATTTCAACCCGAATAAAGTGTGCAGTAGTGAGGTTGGGGTAGTTTTTTTAACTACTCTTAACCAGTGTGAAAAGTAACTTCCAATTACAGGCCTACCTTAGGGCTATTCCTCATAGCTATAAAGCAATTCCTTTTATCATTAGATATAAAATATGGACTAACACGATCGGGTGACATTTAATTGCGAAGCATTCGTTTTGGCTTTGAAACTGTCAGATATTGTACTTGCGAAGGTTTATATGTATTCCTATACAGTAATAGTTTTGCTAGGCCTAGCATATCTGGAAAAATGCACACTAAATATGCAAACCAACTCCTGTTCTGAATAGGTATAAGGTTTCAACTTACTACAAGATTCCCGTACGTAGAACGGGCAAACAGCTAGTAAATAATTAAGGGTACAGTTTCTTAACTGGGCTATGCTAATATCGATTGAAACTATCGATTCGACAAGTAAACTTTCGTGCGATTTTTTCACCATCAGCAAGTTTGGTTGGTTAGGTTAGGTTATGATAGTTTAATTTGATAGCCTAATAAATATATTTAAAAACGTAGAGGATACGCGTCCGGTAACTGGACGTGGATAAGGCGTACGGCAATGACGTCATGGGGTTGCGGGAGCCTGGAACGCCTTTACTACAACAATACCATGACCAGCCATCGGTGATAGTGGTGTAGTGGATAAGGTGCTCGGCTGATATGCAAGAGGTCCGGGTTCGAGTCCCATTGGTGACTAACTTTTTGTCGAAGATTTTGCATTGAAAACCATTTATTCTTAACTGTACATCTTTTATTAGAATTTTTGGCATTTATAATTTTTTAATAGAGAAAGAATTTAACCTTAATTCGATTTTTTCATCATCAGCAAGTTTGGTTGGTTAGGTTAGGTTATGACAGTAATTGCCGGACGTCTAATCCACGTCTGGTTACCGGACGTGTATCCTCTGCCATTTAAAAATATTGATTGTTAATCAATATTTTCAATTCGATAGTTTCAATCGATATTAGCATAGCCCAGTTAAGAAACTGTACCCATAAATAAAGTGGTGGCCGCCAGTTAAATTCTCTTTTTTTTAACACATTACCATTATGGCAACCCTCAACCCTATGCAGCCTAACTTAAGCTGTAGGCCTAGGCTATTATTGAGCTAACACTTATGACAAGCATGCCTAATGTTACTCACCTGCCAATATCCTTGGAAAATGGGTGTACTTTTAATGTTAGGCCTACAACATGGCATCAACACAAAAACCTAGGCCGACATCATTTTGGACCAATTAAACCTACTCTTTTCAATCAAACAACCAAGAGCAGTAACATAACATCCTCGGCCTGGGCATAGGCCTAATTTATTATCCTTCACACACGGTTTCGGTCTAAGTCGGAATGAATCACAAACACAAACTAAGTTAAACTGTTTACATACAAAGTCCTGGTAGCCTTTTCTTAATTCTCTGCTTCCTGTCTTTGCTTTCAATCTTTATCACTCGATCTGATTGATGTCTATATCCTCATCATCTCTTTCTTCCCTTCTGCTTCTGATACTTGATTCTATTCATTCTGACTCATTCACTTACTTCCTTCACTCTCACTACAAACACCAAACACTACAGTAAACACTAAACAGTAGTCTCCAACTCCAGTCTCAAGTCTCAGTCTCACACTCACATAATAGAGATCCTCACTCTCAACTCTCACTGATTGTCTTGTCTGACTGATTCTTTCTTTCTGCTTTCGCTTTCTGCTCTACTTCTAACTTCCGGTTTCTACACCGTCGTGAAGTTAGCGGCTCTTTTCATCGGCGCTTTTTTGGTTTGTAATAGATGTGGGTTGGTTCTCCTGCGGACGCCACAAACGTGTTTTGCAGGGATGTCGGAAACACAATTCAATGACAATACGGTGTGAAATGATGTTTTTATATTTATATAATGTCAATTATACATTGATAAAACGTGTATACAAGTTAAAACTAATTTATTTACGTATTTTAAAAGGCATATTTGAGACCGTAGTGTACATTATACGTAGCTATGGCTTAACATAACGCGATCAATTAAAACTCCGAACATAAAAAGTGCATAATCTTTTTTCCCAAGCCCATCACATCAACTTTGAGGTATTCTAATGGTAATATACAATGTTTAGAATTATCAGTATGAGTATGATTGCGGCAGTCCAGTAACTTACGAAGTTATATGGCAAAATGTATATGGTTGATAGGAATTTGCGTAAGGAAAAGTGCACAATCTTTTTCCTAAGCCCATCACATCAACTTTGAGGTATTCTAGTGCTAATATACAATGTGAAGAATACTCAGTATGAGTATGATTGCGGCAGTCCAGTAAATTACGAAGTTATATGGCAAAATGTATATGGTTGATAGGAAATCGCACCAGGAAAAGTGCACAATCTTTTTCCTAAGCCCATCACATCAACTTTGAGGTATTCTAATGGTAATATACAATGTTTAGAATAATCAGTATATGAGTATGATTGCGGCAGTCCAGTAACTTACGAAGTTATATGGCAAAATGTGTATGGTTGATAGGAATTTGCGTGAGGAAAAGTGCACAATCTTTTTCCTAAGCCCATCACATCAACTTTGAGGTATTCTAATGGTAATATACAATGTGAAGAATACGCAGTATGAGTATGATTGCGGCAGTCCAGTAACTTACGAAGTTATATGGCAAAATAATGTATATGGTTGATAGGAATTTGCGTGAGGAAAAGTGCACAATCTTTTTCCTAAGCCCATCACATCAACTTTGAGGTATTCTAATGCTAATATACAATGTGAAGAATACTCAGTATGAGTATGATTGCGGCAGTCCAGTAAATTACGAAGTTATATGGCAAAATGTATATGGTTGATAGGAAATCGCACCAGGAAAAGTGCACAATCTTTTTCCTAAGCCCATCACATCAACTTTGAGGTATTCTAATGGTAATATACAATGTGTAGAATACTCAGTATGAGTATGATTGCGGCAGTCCAGTAACTTACGAAGTTATATGGCAAAATGTATATGGTTGATTGGAAATCGCACCAGGAAAAGTGCACAATCTTTTTCCTATGCCATATAGATTTTGCTATATAACTTCGTAAGTTACTGGACTGCCGCAATCATACTCATACTGAGTATTCTACACATTGTATATTAGCATTAGAATAACTCAAAGTTGATGTGATGGGCATAGGAAAAAGATTGTGCACTTTTCCTGGTGCGATTTCCTATCAACCATATACATTTTGCCATATAACTTCGTAATTTACTGGACTGCCGTAATCATACTAATACTGAGTATTCTTCACATTGTATATTAGCATTAGAATACCTCAAAGTTGATGTGATGGGCTTAGGAAAAAGATTGTGCACTTTTCCTCACGCAAATTCCTATCAACCATATACATTATTTTGCCATATAACTTCGTAAGTTACTGGACTGCCGCAATCATACTCATACTGCGTATTCTTCACATTGTATATTACCATTAGAATACCTCAAAGTTGATGTGATGGGCTTAGGAAAAAGATTGTGCACTTTTCCTGGTGCGATTTCCTATCAACCATATACATTTTGCCATATAACTTCGTAATTTACTGGACTGCCGCAATCATACTCATACTGAGTATTCTTCACATTGTATATTAGCACTAGAATACCTCAAAGTTGATGTGATGGGCTTAGGAAAAAGATTGTGCACTTTTCCTCACGCAAATTCCTATCAACCATATTAATTTTGCCATATAACTTCGTAAGTTACTGGACTGCCGCAATCATACTCATACTGAGTATTCTTCACATTGTATATTACCATTAGAATACCTCAAAGTTGATGTGATGGGCTTAGGAAAAAGATTGTGCACTTTTCCTCACGCAAATTCCTATCAACCATATACATTTTGCCATATAACTTCGTAAGTTACTGGACTGCCGCAATCATACTCATACTGATTATTCTAAACATTGTATATTACCATTAGAATACCTCAAAGTTGATGTGATGGGCTTAGGAAAAAGATTGTGCACTTTTCCTGACGCAAATTCCTATCAACCATATAGATTTTGCCTTATAGCTTCGTAATTCACTGGACTGCCTCAATTATATTTATACTGAGTATTCTACACATTGTGTATTACCATTAGAATAGCTCAAAGTTGATGTGATGGGCTTGGGAAAAAGGTTGTGCACTTTTCCTGACGCAAATTCCTATCAACCATATAGATTTTGCCTTATAGCTTCGTAATTCACTGGACTGCCTCAATTATATTTATACTGAGTATTCTACACATTGTGTATTACCATTAGAATAGCTCAAAGTTGATGTGATGGGCTTGGGAAAAAGGTTGTGCACTTTTCCTGACGCAAATTCCTATCAACCATATAGATTTTGCCTTATAGCTTCGTAATTCACTGGACTGCCTCAATCATATTTATACTGAGTATTCTACACATTGTATATTACCATTAGAATAGCTCAAAGTTGATGTGATGGGCTTGGGAAAAAAGATTATGCACTTTTTATGTTCGGAGTTTTAATTGATCGCGTTATGTTAAGCCATAGCTACGTATAATGTACACTACGGTCTCAAATATGCCTTTTAAAATACGTAAATAAATTAGTTTTAACTTGTATACACGTTTTAACAATGTATAATTGACATTATATAAATATAAAAACATCATTTCACACCGTATTGTCATTGAATTGTGTTTCCGACATCCCTGCAAAACACATTTGTGGCGTCCGCAGGAGTACCAACCCACATCTATTACAAACCAAAAAAGCGCCGATGAAAAGAGCCGCTAACTTCACGACGGTACTTCTACTACAACTACAGTACTCTATGATGGCTGCCAACCCAACCTATTACATTCGCCTTACAGTGCTACCAACTCCATTAGTTAGTGTTAATTGAATGAACGAAGTGAATTCTCATACTGGTGTGAAATGCATCTGTATGTTGATCGAAATCTCGAGAATGCCTAAAGTTATCAACTAGATGTGTTGCACAAAGATTCTATACCACTTTATCTTGCGACCATTAGTTGTTGAAAAATATTTGTTCCGTAATTATTATAAAATCTTAAAAAAACATTTTTAATTTTGTCCCATAAGATTAACATTATGAGCTACCTTCTTCTTCTTTTTATTTGTTTACATTTTACGACCTACAATTTTGTCGTTTACTTGAGACAAAGAGAACGACTACTCTTTCATCCATAGAGTAACAGTCAAACCGTATTCACATTATAACTCTACAATTTCTAGGATAATAATGTATTTACGAAAATGCTGGCAGGAGTTATCTACTAAAATGTATCGCAATTGATTGAAAAATAAATATTTACATGTTTATTCTACAAGCTACGTTTCTTCAGTAGGCAATGCTATATAATAAGAACGACGCGACGGTAAACGATGGTGAAAGTCTACTAACTTATTGTTTCCTAACTTGCTAAAAGTTAAGTGTTATCTTTGACTAATTAATATTAGATAAGATTTCACTATCTAATAATCAATGGTTTTAGTTATTTTCGTTCTGGTTGTTCTAAATTGGTTGTAAGGCCTCGCGTCGGTGGCTTTATCTATTCAGTCAGTCATTCAAATGTTGCCCCAAAATATTTAGATAAGTTACTGTACTTTCATATTACTGTATAATGAATGATATAACGTAAGTACTAAGACTTTTTTTTATCAAATAAGGTTTTTTTTTCATTTAATATATCTTTTTTTCATCGGTCGTCTGCAGTTCACTCGCTAACTAAGACAGAATCAGTAATGCTGCCTTACGTTAAGTTTAGTCTTAGAACATACTCCTCAAGGTTTAGTGCATTTTGCTATTGATAATAAGACGGCAACCTAAGTAGGTTTTAAAAGTTTGTGAATAAAATCCTATCCATTTAAATTACGTAGGTAAGTAATGGAATCAAACTGCATTTTAGATTCAACTCAAACCTCTTAAGTTAAGGTTAACCTAGAACAAGTAGACTCAGTTCTGATGAAGAGCGGATGAAACTCAGCCAATGGACACAAGAATAGGCAATAGGAAGGAGCTTTCCCGACTTTGGTCTGAATAAGTGACAAATTTTAGTGAGTTTAATATTGAACTCTCAGTCGACTATATTGTGTCAACTGAGCTTATGGACCCTTCATCAAGTATTGAACACTAAATACTGTAGGTCAATAAGAGGGAACCTACTGCTTCAAAGAGCTAACTTAGCCGAACTTAGCCCACTTATAATAATGATGCTAAGGGCCCATAACAAAAGGACTATGCAGATAACCAAGAAGTGAAGATCAAGACGTACGGTACGAGCAGACATAAAATTGGGCTCACAGGTCTTCATCGATTGTATCAAGGCAGTGGAAGAATGGTGAGACAGACAATCAGAATGCTGAGGTAGATAATCTTAACTTCAAAATATAGCCTAAACAGTATACACTTTTGAAGGAAGGCGGTGAAGCGAGGAAGTGCTGTGTCATGTAACTTAAAGTTGTTTTGTGTTTAAAGTGTGTCTGTTACATTAATTGCCTAGACGGCCGTGTTGCCTAGC